GCATATGAAACTTATAAAACATTGTGTTACTTCAAACTATATATAATTCTTATGAATTTTGAAAACTAATTAAGTAATATCATTTACTCTGGATATATATTTTATAAACAGTGAATAAAAGATGCAAAGTAAGTGTATCAATTAATTGATATTGCCAAATTGCTCAACTAATATATCCATAAGGAGATCTTATCAAGAGATCAATAACACCCCTTCCCATATAAATCTTAGCCGTTAGGTTTTATATATACTATTCTTTCAAAGCATTTATCTCGTATAGAACTATTTAGTATTACCAATAAATGGTATCGTTCCCAATGCCAAAGAACATTCATTTTTCCCATTAGTGTAACAAAATCAGGCCCAAATTTACAATGGATCATCAAATTGAATCGGTAGCATACATGATCAATAATTCGAACTTTATTTTAAACATAGTTAACCATGAAATTTTCAGTTACCCTTGGAAATGAAAACGATATTTCACTACATGTACTACAAATCTGTCAGACTTGGATACAAAAAAATTAGGTTTGGATGGTAGGAATTTTTTTTTTTTTTGGCTAATGTATAATCTTACATATTGACCTGTTGACACAAAATAAAGTTTCCAGTTTAAAAGTTTATTTTCATTTACCATAAATGCCTCAATTTTACTCGTACTAAATTAACCAGGTGTGGTGTTTACAGTGGACACCCATCTTGCAGTGGAAAACAAAGTTCAAAAATTTCTGGGAGAAATTCTAGATGATATCATATAAATAATCATCATTATTCTTCGAGGAATATTGTATAAGTTGAAATATTTTACACCTCATTGGCTCAAATAAAGTTACAATGATTATTCTTAGTAATAACTGAAGCAGCAGATTGATCAAACACAGATCCATCCTGCTACAATTTGAATCATCAATGGGTCCCATTTTAAGAACAAGAGGAACATCTTTTGAAACTAATCAAAGAAATTTTGTTTAAAAATATATTTAAATAAAAAAAATTAGCAACTATCGATTTTAAAATTTTCTTTTGATTGTCAATGACATTCTGTCCTCCATAATGATTTTTCTTGAGTCCGAGACTAATCATAACAACTCTATTTTTTGTGCTCATTCTTTAAAGAGCAGATTTATACTAAATGCTAAATGTTATTTGATAAACTGATAGAAAATTCCCAATTTGTTCTATTTCTAATCAATGCTCTTTTTACCATTTACTTCAGTATCAGAGTTATTCCAAACGGATCATGACTAATAGATAGATACAAACTTGATGCTTTCTTTGTAGCTTTTATTTTGCAACAATCTGTTTTTTTCCTTGACAACAGTAAACTACTATAAGACTGTACTAACAGATTGGGTCTAAAAATGAAATCTTATAAAACCTTCCCTTTTGTGCTTGACATGAATTAAACGATCCATTAGCTGATGTCTGTACTAAGTAACCAAGCCTCGGGAGATTTCTGCTAACATCAATTTACCTTATAGAAAGCATGCATGTGTAAAACTAATAGAAATATGGATGTCAAGCACCTGAACACTATGGAAACTTTCACTATGTTAAAGATATTAGTACTGGCAATACTAACAGAAAGGGGATCACATGTACAAACACTTGCACTGCAATGTACTGGAAAGAGCCTGGCTATTTGCCAATGTCTGTACATTTTCAATAGAACAATCAAACAAAGGCACAATTCCAATAGATCTGACCAAATTAGCACTTTTTCCATTTCAGATAGAGTGAGAAGTTATATATGTACAGTGTTCACTAGGGACATAGTGGTCAAACTTCGATTGCCTTATATGGCAAGCACAAACATGCATGCACTGCTGCTAGCTTAGCAAGTCATTATGCCGTCCTGTGTTAACTTTTTCTCCTTAAAATCGGCATAGTCAGATACGTTCATGACTTTTAATAGCCTAATTTATACAAACATACGAAGAGTATACCTAAGTCGATACAGTTCGGCATTTAAACATGAGAACATTCGTGAATTTGCTTTAGCAAAAACTATCCCAAATTTCAACAAACGGTAGCATAGTCTGACATATTAATTGCATTAACAGCAACACTTGAAAAAATAACTACCTCGGAATCAAGACTTGGTGATAATATCTCCTTTGGTGCGGGGTTTGACATATCAAAACCTAGTGACCCAGGAAAACTTTGACATGTCTGATTTGAGGTCTTGACAACAGAACTCCCCTTGTGTCGTCTTCGCTTGGCTTTTCGCTCTTCTAGGCCGCTCATTTTAAATTTTCGTCTCGTTTTCGTATATTCAGCTACTCTTACTAGTTTACTTTAAGCAGCTCTGAAGTTTTCCGTGTTTAAAGTCTCGAATCGTATCGGGGTGTTCATTTCTCCTAAACCAACATGGCGATTGATGGGGGTAACATTCCCAGCATTCTTTTCGTTGCTTCCGAAAACCGAGCAAAGGGGCATAACTCTAAATATAGCAGACGAATCGCGCACATAAATCAATGCATTAGCATGATCATGATGATTAGTGATTAGACGCAAATTTATAAGTTAAATTGAAAGCTAATATCATTCGAAATTCTAATAATTCTTCTGAAATTTGTACTCTGTTGGTTTTTTTTTTAAATTCTCAATAGTCATAGTATGATATCTTTATATCTTTTGGGCATGAAAAAAGTTTTTTCTTTTTCCTTTTTTGGGGGGTGATGAATTAAGTTATTTTGCTTTGAAAATATTTATTTTTGCTTAATTTTCAATATTTTTTAAATTGAAAAAAATAATACATGTACAATATAGTGAGGTTGGACACATAAGTTAAGTATTCTATCAAGTAATGATCTGAATAGCTTTGAAACAATTACAAAAATTGTTCAACACGCTTTAATCATTTAGAATTTCCCTTTCTTTCTGTCTCTCTCTATTTTTTGTCTCGCTTTTATATAAATTGCCCTCTGGGTCCAAAATTAAAAATAAATACAATACTTTAGCCAGACTGCTGCATAGATAAGGATATATATATATCTTGCATAGTTAATTACCAGTAGCGCATCTATAAACAATTTACATCAAATCATTTTGATTGTTTCTTACTCTCGTCTTTTCAACATAAATGAATTTCTGTGTGCCATTAATGTACCTGTTTAAGACTTCAGTTGAAACTTTTCTACTTTTCGTTTTTCAGTATCTGCCAACAAACAGTCTGACCAAACTACATTAATTTGTAGTGAATGAAGGTGTATACAACATGTAATTTGGATAAAGTATAAGACACTCCTGAAATTGACAAATTGAAAACAGGTAGACATTATTCCATATAATCAGACCAATTAACCCAATTTTGAAGAAAAAAAATATTCCCAAGACCCTTATCAGGCACGTAGCAACACGGGGGGGGGGGTGCCCCCTTTTTTCCCCAACATTACATATACTTTAAAATGTATACTTTATATACATATACTTTATAATGACTCAAGAGGAGAGTTTTAAATAAAGTCTTTAAAACCTTTCCTAATTTGATACTGCTTAACAATGTTAACCTGTTTACATGGATTATGTCAAATGAAGATTCTGAGTTTGTTGTATGCTTATAAATGCAAATTTTGATAAGAGAAAATAGTTCAATACAGGCATATTGCAGATATACATAGGCCAGTTATAATGTACATTTTATGCATCCTAAAAGAAGATAGCCAACTCTCTGTTCATTATACAATGTTTGTTTTGTTCTGTTTTTGTACCTATAACTGTGACGATTTTGGACATTGTTCTATGTGCTCCACTGTGGGCCCAAATTGGTTGAATAAATATTCTATTCTATTCTTTTCTATACTGTAGGAAATGTTCATTGAAATCCTGGATGTCCCCTTCAAATTTTTGTGATATAAAGAAAATGTAGAATTGTAGGTTTAAAAAATTGGTACTGAAAGAAGTTGGTATTGAAAAAAGTTGGCTTCAACCCCCCCCCCCCCCCCCCGAAATAGGAAACTTCCTTTTTTTTCTTTTTTGCTTGTCAGCTTTTTCAGTTAAGAAACTTTTTTTCTCTGGCTGCCCCCCCCCCCCCCCCCGCCTTTCAAAAACGATGCCACGTGGCTGCTTATTTTGCATGTACAATGTACACAAATCCCATACTTCCACGTTTCCTTTTCATGGAATTAACCCCCCCCCCCCCCATTAATTAAAATGTTTGACTGTGCCCGCACCAAGTTATTGCTTCCTACAAATCTGCTTCCCCAATAAAAGCGCAGGTAGTGTTTCTTACACTTACATTATTGAATTCTTCTTAATTAATAGCCACTTCTTGACAAGTCAGAATGGTATTGGAGGAAAATTTATAAGACTGGAGGAGACATATACTCATTAATTTTATATACAAAATGAATGAAATGATGCAGAATAATTGCTGGATAAATTAAGGATATCAAGCCATTTTATTTAGATGTCTGTATTTTGATTTTAATATAAAAGTGACTGTCATTCCTTTGACTTCAGAGGAAGTGAGGGGGTGGGTGAGTTACAATATTGAGATAATGTTCAGCTTAGCGAGCTATTTAAAAACTTGATCCCAAAAATATTTTTGGAAAAAAATCTGCTTCATTCTTTTTTGTACACAAGTGTGTTCCCATGAATCACAACTCAAAAGCTGGTATGCAGTACAGTCTAAATTTGTCACGTCCAAATCAACTGGACAGACAATGAAAATTTCCAGGTATCAGATGATCAAGATATCAGGGGAAAATAACAGAATGTATGGTTGGGATTTCCAAATCAATTCAACGTATCCATACAGAGAAAACAATCTTCCAAGATATTGAAATTATACTTGTTTTCACAGTGAAATACAGTGTTTTTAATTCAGTAAGAATTTTGGTATGGATTATTTTTTCTTTAACTGAATACAAGTGTTTTTGGACCATCCTGTCCTTTTTTTCATCTACGGTATAACAAATTTAATGTCAACTGCTGACATAAGCATTGAGTTGTCTTTCTTGTCTCCATTTTATGAAATAAAAGAAACATTTTATTGGAACTCATTTAATACTGTTTTACTTTATGCAACAGAACAAAAAGTTTATATATTGTTTGTTTCTGACTACAAGACAGAAAAAAAAAATCATGTTTCAACATTAACTCAATCAGTACAAACAGAACTTCATGCAACATGTCTACCATCTAAACTGTTATACAGGGTAATTGACTAGGAAAAAATAACTGAATCGGTAAATTGATGCTCTCTCTACAAAAATCTTACTACAGTTATGAAAATTCATAAAATGGACAATGTTTTGGTTCATAGAAAAAATCATTTTGGTCTTTATTGATCCCATGGTGATATGAAAGAAATTTTTTGTTACCTTGTTCAATAGTAAAATTTTCATGTCACTACAAAAAAATTATAATGCTTACTGCATAATTTATTTTATTTTGACTATAGATCTTTTAAATAATTTGACAAAATGCATATGATTCAACTAATAGCCCAAGAAAGAAAGAGCAGCTAGATTTTTCTTTCAAAACTTTATTTCCCTTTACCAAACAAAAATCACAAAAACTTTAAATTATTCCTTTTTGTATGTACTATAAAAACTCATTTACCAAGAAGTACATGTATTTGAAATAAACACTCGTACAATGTATCAATATATCTTACACAGTTAAACTAAAAATTATACAGTTGCACCACACAGCATTTATACAAAGCAAGCAATGTACTCTAACAACCAGTACATAGGTGTTAATTGATTTAGTCATACAAAATATTCCATACAGCACTAATAATATTCATATGCAATCAGTGTAAACCACCAGGCTCAATACATAATACAACAGGTAAGTCTTAGAGTAATCAGCACTAATTTCAACATTAAGAGTCAATATTACAAGGATATATATCTTTCACATAAATCAAATCACATAACAGAGCTGAACTTTCTATCAGCCATCCAGCCATTCAGGTAAGTAATTCTTTGGAGTTCCTCAGGTAAACACATGGGCAAGTAAATAAACATCATATTGAAACATCATCAAATAGGACATAAATTGTCCCCAGACAAATAAATGGTAAGTTATTTTTCCTCAGAAAAACACAGGGATAAGTACCAGTAAATTGCCATCTTGAAAATAGGATAGTAGTTGTCCCTCAGACAAATGAACCCCAAAAGTAATTCTCTCTAAGATAAACTGAGGGGTAAGAACCGGTAAATTACCATCACAAAAACAGGTCAGTAATTGTCCATATAAATATAAGAAAGTACTGGTAAATTACCATCATATAAACAGGTCAGTAATTATCTTTCATATAAACAGAGGAGAAAGTACCAGTAAATTACCATCACATAAACAGGTCACTAATTGTCCTTCATATAAACAGAGGATGCACCTGTCTCATGCTCAGCTTTTTTCTGCAGGTTGGACAGAAGCGATGATTGTCGATGGACGCTTTGATGCAGGGCTTACAGAAAACATGGCCACAAACTGTAGCTGCCATTTGTCTCCCACTTTTTATAATCTGTTAAAAAATGATACATGTAATAAGGTCAATTAAGGATACTTATATAAAATGATGATTCCAAAAATCTTCCTTAAATGTTATAACCCTATGGGGTGGTTATGGGTCATTAATTAAACAAATGCATATCAACTTTAAATGAGACTTTGCCAAGTTTGACATTTTTTTTTTTGCCAGCTGGTACTATTTCTTACAATAACCTCCAGTGGAAAAAGATAGGGTCTGCTCCTTTTAGCCACAGGGGCAGGTAAAATATTCTATACTTGATTTTAAGTAAAAAGCCATCTTCAATGGAAATGTTATTAATCTGTTGACAAGAGGCCCATCTGAGCAACTGGGCTTGCTGTTTAATATTCACCAGATCTTCCCCCTTGTAATATCTATCGACTCCCCCCCCCCCCCCCCCCCCCCCCTTCCCCCAGTTCATGATCTTAACAATTTAGAATCTACAGTTTCTACACTACCCTAGTATTCTTTTACATAAGTTTCAACTTTTCTGGCTCAGTGGTTCTTGAGAAGAAGATTTTTTAAGCGAGCTAAAAAAATAAAATGCATAAAAAGTACCTGTTTTTTACTGTCCATACATATGGGGCAGCTAATGTCTTGTACTGGTGACAGAATAGAATCATTTGCACTTGTTGATGGGTTATTCCTAATTTTCAAAAAGAAAATATAACTTTGAAATACATTAACAATGTACATGTACCATGAAACATTTGGAAGAATAACTTTAAGAATGTTCATTTTTTTTTTAAATCTGTAGTATTGAAAATAGTTATTTTATTTTTACTTTGTCAAAACAAACAAACAGTAATAGAAATCAACCAAGTTCTTATGCTCTGGTGAGATAAAAATAAATATTTTATGAAAGAAAGAAAGAGAGAGATAGACATAGCATTGTTGTTGAAAAAACATGTATACTAATAAAATACTTGCATAAGCTTAAAAGTGTGATTATAAAAAGAAATATTAAGTCAAAAAAATCTATTCAAATGTTGAGTCAAGAGTTTTCAAAGTTTTATTTAGAAAGCAGTCACAAATCAGTACTGTAAACCAGCTTTCTATTGTGTGCGATAAATATCTGCAAATTTCGCAATTTTCCTTATCTCGTATTTATTGCTACAAACCATTTATTTTGCCACGTATTTGTAGAAATATTTCCTAGGTTGCAAAATTAATCATTAGAAATTGATTTTAAACAGCCAAAAATTAATCTGACACAAAAAATAGTTGGTTACCAGTATATATAAGAGTGAATATTTAACCTACTCCATTCCCAACATATTCTATTTCCGGATCATAATAAACTTACTCCGTTTCTGGATCATCAAAAGAGAGAGGCAGAGGTAGTGGATGGTAGGAGTTAGAGATCTCTATCACGTCGTTCTCCGATTCGTCCGAGGTCTCACGACGACGCCTCCCTATAGTTCTACGTCTTCTGGACTCTGTTTAAAATAACAGTACACTGTAATAACAAGGCTCATCTCAACAAGAGGCAGAATATAATATAATAACGTCATTACAGTGTTTAATTTATCAATGTTTATCTGGAAAATACTAAAACAAGTCAATGGGTGCATTCACAGTTCTGCCGTTGGTAGACAAAAGTTGCTGTTGGTAAAATTAATTACCATTGGCATGCCACTGATACCAATGTTTTTTGCCAATGGTATATTTTTCTGCAGACTTAGAGTGTGGTTAATGTTGATAAATGATGTCACAGCTAGTTATCAACATGGCAACAAGCTAGAAAGACTTGGATCCCGTATTCACAATGATATAAACGATTTTTCCTCTGAGCCTTTTTAACTCTTTGCCCCTTGCGCTGTCTGTGACGTAATAGTAGCATTACATTTGTTAACTTTTGATGACGTTATCCTTTTCCCCGCAGCGCACTTGCGATTACGTGCTGAAAAGACGTGGTTTTGAGGATGCATTTACACGGTGTATAATTAGCAACTGTTGCCGTATATATAAATAATATTTATACAATCATCTGTAAAATGAATTCAAGTATTTGATGATGATTTAAATGATGATTTAATCCTTTTATTTTGTTTAAATAATTCTTTTATGTGGACTTTTACAGACTTGATATATTATCATAGTTTACAGAAAATTTATTATGAATTTTAAATCTAAATCGAAAAACTTCGTTCAAAATAATTGTTTGAGTTCCATTCAGGGTATCATTTTATGCTCCAGTTAAAATGACAGACAGTGACACCCCCCTTTTTTATTTCTTCAGTCACATGCATTACCATTTTATCGAAACTTGCAAAATCTTTCAATTATTTATATTTCTTCAGTCACATGCATTACCATTTTATCGAAACTTGCAGAATCTTTCAATATTATAAATAAAAATAGAAATGAGGTCTAGTAGAAAAGGATTATCACTTGAGAAAAATTTATAACACGTTTTTAATTTTTTTTTTTTTTTTAGGACAAAAAGGATATGTATAGCATTCAGCACATTAACTTGATTTATTTGTTCGAGAGGGTTTTTTAAATTAATAAATATTGTTTGAATATTGGAATATCGATTAATTTCTGTTGAACTATACTATAGCGCATTGACGATGGAAAACATTTTAATTTTTAAAATACATGTAATAAAATTGAACTGATCACATCTTATTATTAATATTTTGGCTGATATACAGATGAAATACTGCCATAAAACTCGGCATTAAAATAATCAGTCTTAAATTAGCAATATGTATCTAAACCTTGCTAGCCAAGGGTTTCCGATCCAAAATCTACTCTAGTGCATGGTGGAGATGTGAAGCGTATCGGAATCCCTTGGCGTGCGAAGATTGCAGAATCTTTACACCTACAGGTACATGTGGGCTACTAAAAAATCAGCACGTTAAAAAATAAAGAAAAAATTGGGAGATATGGGGCTGTAGGCGAATTTGCAATAAATAAATAAAAGAGAAAAGAAAAACATCGAAAAGAATTTTTACACATTTTTAAAAACAATAGAAGAGTTTACAAACGATTCCAAGAACGTCTCGGACGAAGCGATCAGTACTCGACAATTTCCAGATGTTGTCCTATAAGTATTCCGATTATTTGTGGAGCAAATGAAACAGTACTCTTAAACATGTTTCTATGAAAATGCATTAATTGTAGCTGTATTTATCGAGAAATATAGATCTAAAGTATTTCCACTATTTTTCCAAGGGTTGCCAACAGATTTCTATGACACGATGAACTTTATGAACATGCAGGGTCGATATACACGAAAACATGTCCACTTTAATCAGGAAAATGACGTATTTATATCAATTTATTCAAACTTGCAAAAAAAGTCTATATGATATACAATAAAATTAATCAATTACTCAGGATCGATCTATCAGGAGTAACTGCGTAGTGGATATACAATTTTTTCACTATATACTTTTGTGATTTCCCATGATATTACTATGGTATTAAAAAATACACGTTAATGACAGAAAAAAAAAATTAATTGATTTTGTTTGTAAAGGATATACATTTGATTGTGTTTGTAAAAGATATACAATTCTGACCGAAATAAATGTTCATATAGATCAGACCGGAGAATAAACAGATAATCTCAATAATTTGACTTCGTTCTTTTTTCCGATTATTTATATTCTACTTGTTATTTCCGACTTTACATAGTTTAGTGACAATTTATAGTTTAATTTTCCGACATTTATTGCAGAGTAAATTTAAGGAAATAAAACTGTGACCGAAGACTTTCTTAATTGAAAATTCAAATTATTATCTTTGAACAATACCGGCAAATCATTGACATCAAAAGCTTTATTTTCTTAAAAAAACAAGGATGTGAAATTGAGATCAGTTTCATGTGTGTCGGGCATCACTGACATGATATAGTTCAAGTGTAGCTGATTTTCTTTTTTATTGAATAATTTTTCATAAACTTGGTAGACAAGATCCATACCCCCCCCCCCCCCCCCAAAAAAAATGTCCGAAATGCTAAGCATTCCTGTGGTAAAATGAAATGCTAAATATATATTTTATCATCAGTCCCGGAAATTCTAAATGTAATAATATAATTCCGGGGATGAAATGCGGAAAATGATTTAGATAGCTGTTGGTCAAAGATGTATAGCACCCCCCCCGAAAGAATGAAGTCTTAAGCAATCAGACCACATCGCCGTTCTCTTCTTGAAAGTTTACTTCGTCAATCAAGATTTTTCAAAACTTTAGTTATTATTTTTAAAGTATGCAGTGTTGACATACATGAACCTACAGAGTATATATGTTTTCTTAAACATGTGAAAGTGACTGATAAGTGAATATTTTGAAATAATATACTGACGATATGAACGTACTCGAGGCGGATATATTCCTATAAGGGACTATATACCCACTGATAAAACTAATCAGTAGACATAGGTCTTTTAACGATACCCCCACTGCGAACGAGACCGGGTATACTGTTTTACCCTTGTGTGTTTTTCCGTCTGTTAGCTGTGTGTCTGTCCGTAGCAAAGTTTTTGGTCGCAGTTTTCTCAGCAAGTACGCAGCACTCGTTACAGATGCTTAAAATTTTAGCACATTCGTCACTGTGGCATGCCATATGGTGGTTTCATTTTTGTTCAAATCCGATGTCAACTTCCTATATTACCGTGCGTCTGTCCGTACCAAACATAGATGTAACAATTTTTTATCGTATTTTTAAAGCAACTACTCATCGCAGATTAAAAAAATTATCACAATCTTTGTTGAGACAAGTCATATAGTAGGATTTTTTTGTATATGAATCTGATAACAACTTCATATTTTTTTCGTGCATCTGCCTGTAACTGAACTTGTGTAAATTCACATCAGAGTGGGGCATTATTGGCGAGCATTGGCTCACAGACTTCTTGTTCGTTCTTCCTTTTTAAAAAAAATATAAAACAAGTATTCAGTATACTTTAAAATTTTCCCGAATACACATACCTTGTTTCATGTATACATGTATACGTATATGTTTAGAAATGAAGACACACGATCGAGTAAGTGCGACACTTTTTTATTTTTACAATATCGGAAACGTTGACTTGATAATGAAAACATTTAAATCAATCTCTTTTTCAACATGATATTGTCGTTCCTTAATTCTGTTCCTCTTCATTTGTGTACTATGTGTATTTTTTTATTGCTGTGTAGCATGCGTAAGGTAGGAAAATAATCAGGTTTTACGAATTTGAATTCAAATAGAACAAGAAATAAGACAAAATGAAACTATACATAACATAAGATTAGATGTAAACTGGAACAAACCTATTTTCTACGAACAAACTTCTTTTCTGTACTCTTGAATGAGTATGTATAAACTTAAAAATTCTTTTGTAATTTTATACTTTCCATCTGTTGATTTCTGCACAGGTTTTTATCAAAGACTTACATAAAAAAATCATTCGTCGAATTCGATAAATTCTGAATAAAGGGTCTCATCTCACACAAGATTGAGTGACTTCCACATCACCAAAACAAGTGGATCAAGTGGTGAGCTTATTAAGCGTCAAAAGAAAGACCTTAATTTGTATTGCATTCCAAGTTTCGTCAAATAAATCGAACGATTCGGACATATTGAATTGAGGAAAAATATTATCATTTGCGAAAGATATTAGAATGGAATTACAAAATTTATAATCTAACCATTTATTGCCATACCATCAAAACTTTACGCGTTATGAGAGCAGAAAACGCCAAAAACGAAAAGTGCGTTAAAGTGCGTGATTGCGGGGCAAAGGTATATGCGTTAAAATGCGTGATTGCGGGGCAACGGTATATGCGTTAAAATGCGTGATTGCGGGGATGGGGGTTAACAAATCATTCCAAAATCACATAAAAATCATAACAAACTCACAAATTCATGATTTTGAAGTAAGATATGGACATGATCCATTAAATGGATTATACAAAACTCATAGATATGACAACTAAATAAGTGTGATCCTGATGTGGTTTGTTTCTCGGCTATGAGTCTGCTATGATTTTCTTGCGATTCTGGCATGTGCCATTAACTTCGAAGACAAAGAAATCTGTAAATCAGTATTACCAACGTTTCCATTGGACTCCCATTGGTAACATTTGTAAAATCATTACATTTGTACATGCCAATATCCGTTCAGGGTTTATTGGTACAATTGGTAACATTGTCAAATTATTGCACCAATGGTATATTGAAAGTTGGTACTAATGGTAGAACTATGAACGCAACCAATGACAAGACAAGCCACACAGACAGATATTATGTATTACATAGTACAATTTCCTTACCTGAGTTTCCTGAAATCTGAAATTTGAAAATGTATGTTTCACTATTCACTTTAATTTAAAATGTCAAAAAATATATAAAACAACTTATTATATTAACGGTTCTGTGGCCATGTTATAACCATGTTTTACTGTTTTATTACACAGGTTATGAAACTAACTATTATCAAACTGGCTTTGAAATTGACTATTATTTAACTAGTTTTGAAAAATATACTGGTAAAGTAATTTACTATTTTAACACTGCATGGTTAAGTAACTTACTATAGTAACACTGGTTACATAACTTACTACAATCACTTGTGTTACGTAACTTACAATTATAACACTGGCATCATTTGCACCAGATGGGCTGGTCAGATCAATGAATTCTTCGTCCCCGCTGGTCAGATCAATACAAGAGCTGTTCTGTGTCCCAGAATCTGTCAACAAGTCATGAAAAAAAAAATATTGAACATGACATGTTATAGTGATGAATTAAGTATTTATAAAGTTCTTTGTTTGAGCATGCATCTGAAGAATACTCTTAAATGGTTTCCATAGATTGAAAAACGTTTTGATTACTTCTATACATTTTGTCATTTATATGATATTTGGTTTCTCACTGAAAAAATTAACAAACCATCGTCATTGATGACCAGTGGTTGAGTGGTTTCCCTGTGCCTACTCCGGCTCCGTAAATCCTGATCCCGCCTTCTGTGACGGTGTTCATGATGTCTGTGTGTCCCTCGTTCATGTAACGGTCTCCTGCGCGAGACCTAAAAATAAACAGTCATATCTCAGACAAGAAGAGGCCAGACCATCTTCGCTAGCCCAGGGTTTCTGATCCGCTACTCTCCTCATGAACCCTTGGCATATGGTGAAGTCAAAAGACGAGATTGTTTTTGTCACGTGATCTCGAATCTATCGGTATGCACAGAATGCGTCGACAGAAACAAAGACACGTGTTTAAAAAAAATAAATAAAAGTTTTTTTCAAGAATAGTTAAGAAGCAATAATTGAGTTATGTTTATTTATTATTCATAGTACAAATCTGAAGCTTCAATATAGATTCTTAATCACATATTTAGAAGATATTGGATTACACCATAGCTTTTCATAGAATTGCATGTTATCTTACGGATCGTTGTTTACTTGCGTTTTTCATTCCCGAGATTAAAGAGTCAAGAAGTATTCCGAACGCAAACAACGTCATTTACAAAAAAACAATTGTTGATTTCGACCATCTTCGCTAGCGAAGATGTTGGTCGACCGGGTGTACCGAATCCCAATCAGAACTCGAGAAAAAAACCAACTTCTATTAACACTGTATGCCAAGGGATTATGAGGAGAGTAGCGTATCCGAAACCCTTGGCTAGCGAAGATGAGGCCAGACGTTTATTTTTGTTATTTTCACTTTCAAACATTGAAAATGTTGTCTTCAACGAATGCACCAATTATGTTATCAATTAAATAATTATTAAATGTTGTAAAAAAAAAAATCAGAATGGTCTCAATCTTCTTTACCATTTAGCATGATGAAATATACACGTATGAAAACTCCACACAGGAAATACTCGCAGACTTTCTGTGTGTACTGTTTCAGTCCGTGTAAAGGAATAAATTCTCTACATTATCTGCATAACCATAATGGTCATAATACTGTGTTCAACTATGATAAATCATTTCCTATGGAAATGAACCATAGACATGATAGAGGATACAAAGTATTTGACAGGTCCAGCACAATGTCTTGATTAAGCTATATAGCTATATAAAGCTATATAGCTTTATTAAGCTATTTAAAATAGCTTAATAAAGCTATTTATATGCAGTTTTTAACAAAAAACGTATTTAGTGAGAAATAAACAAAAAGTCGCAAGTATTTGACTATTCATATATGTACTTTGGGCTATCAAAAAAACAACCTAAATCATAGAAAGTTCTAACATTGCTGTTGTTGAATACTTTTAAGCAAAAGATGAATTTCCATTGTTTGGGTAACTGTACTAGGGGAAAGTGTCCCATTGAGTGCGGTGAGGCGTGGATAAGTATGATTGCTTCTCATTGTGTTGAACTGTTACCAATCAATTATCCTGTTGGCTATAACTGACCTCCTTTATCATTTCATTCAAGAAATAACTGTGTGGTTACTCATCAATAGCCCCAAAACTTTAAAAATTTGAGTACAAAGTCTCTCAAGGAGACACAATTTGGTGAGTGATTTTAACATGCATTGTATTCAGAAGAGTTCAAAGTTTAATATTTCCACTGCACCAAGGTGCGACTTTTTGCACATGCTGAAAAAATAAAACATTTGAGAAAAAATTGTGATAAAATAGCTTAATTAAGCTATTCCGAATAGCTTAATAAAGCTATATAGCTAAATCAAGCTATATAGCTTAATCAAGACATTGTGCCGGACCTGTTTGAAGCAGACGTTTACTATTAACACTATGTTAATTCAAAATACTAATTATATTTAAGTAAAAATACTTAAACTTTATCTTAAAGAAGAAAGATTGGATGAAAATTGTAGAATTAAACCTACATGTATGCGAATTCCTCCCAAATCCATGGCACTCTTCTGCTTTTAAATTTTGGAACTCTTGTGTGAAAGAAGATAGAAATCAGTCCTCACTTCCTGTAAATAAATTTTGACAGATGGGACAGTCAAAAATAATCTATACCTACTGAATATAGGATTTTACGTGTTTTTGTTAACACCATCGTGTTTATATATCAAGAATACTTTTGTACAAAGTAACTTTTGAATCTCAAATGACGAAGTTTTGAAGAATGCAGTTGTTTCAGTCGGACGATCATTATATTTTGCATGATGGAGATTTTTCATTGTGGTGCAGTCGACATTCTGGCACTCTTGAAGCCAAAAAAGGTTTTGTTAAAAATAACTTCACTTTTTACGAAATTGTAGCTGTGTAAATCTAATGACTGAAATAATAATGATTCTTCATTTTTTAAAATAAAAATTTGAATGAGCATTTTCCACTATTTATTACAAAGTTGTCATTTTAAAATTTTGCTGTTATGTTTAACTAAAGGTAATTATTTAATTTGTTAAACATGTTGAATGTGTCAAAATAGGTTGTAAGAGATGGTCAAATCACAGTGCATATAAATCTGGAATTAACACGACCAGTGGGTATCATTATTGCTGTACTAGCATATCTCTGCTGATATACATGTACTATACAGTATATCAGTTCAATATGTTTTAATTCTATCATAAACAAATGTCTGTTTTTCTATGCTAAATAATCTCTAACCTTATAAATCTTTACACACAATATTCCCTTCAAATGCTTATGAAATAAATTGCATGGCACATAAAAAACTTAATTGCAAAGTAAAATTGCTTTGTAAAAGTATATTATTTGAATAATATTTAATTACAAAGAGATTTTTTAAACCTATTTATAAGAAAGGGGTTAGACATTTCCAGTTGTGAAATAACTATTTCTGGTCATAACTGGGAATGTTTTTGGCATTGAAAACATGCTTTGCTGTTGTCCCCTCATTATTAGCAGATGAAACAATATCAAACAAATGTAATCTAGGGTCTAATAATATACAATATTGATAATAACAAAAAGGACATTGGAGAATTTTCTCTAAAGCATGAAATTTACCAGATTTCTAAGTAATCTCTGTCAGAGAAGCAGACAATATTATATTTATTTACATTAATATTTGGCAATATTTCCATATCCTTTAAAGGTGTAAGTTATTTCTAGATGTTAACAATTTACAAATAATGAAAAGTGCACATTGAATTTTTTAGAAATGAATTAAAGGTTTATGATATAATTTCATTTAAAATGGTTTATATATAAACACAATATGTGTATTGTAGGTGATGATATTTGTTTGGCTTGGAATCCGGTCTGTATAGGACTTGTCTATGGACTGATTGGGAAGATAAAGATTCATCCAGGTAACCTTGGTAACCCTAAATAATCAAATAAACTTATGATGGTGGTCATCAAATATGAGGCTATTTTTGAGAGGGGAAACACTCTAGAATAATTTATCATACAAAAATATTTTTTTAGCAAAATGTTTTTTGTTCAAGATACATGTATGTGGCTTGACTAGTAGTATTAGCCCCAGATACTACATTTTTTAGTCAGTTGGAACTAGTGCTAGAAATAAAGGATTCTCTCTAAAATTTGCGAAAACTTTTTTATTTAAAAAAAATCCACATAGTTCAATGTTTTACAATGAAAGGTGTAAAAATAAATTTCATGTTATTTATGTAATGAAATATAATGTTTTATATGTTAATATACTAGGAACATGTCTCATATGATGACAGTTATCTTTCTTCTATAACACTAATGTTATCATTTTGGCTTTTACAGAGGATGATTGGAGGTTAATTCTCATAAAACAGAGAACTTCTGTTGGGAGTGTACTAGAGGATCAGGAGATATATAGAGTGAATAAGATTGTGATTGTCCCACTGTCAGATGCAGAACCTCAAGAGCTGGATTTAGATGTTAGTCTATAAATAATATTTACAAGACTATAAAGTATAATTTTTTTTTTTTACTGGAGAAGCAATATGAAAGCATTTTGAATGCATGAACAGATCATTTTGCATGTAACAGCATGTTAAGAATACATGTAATGCAAAAAGAAAAAAAATATACAGGTACTTTGGAATCATTACAATTCTTATGGATAATTTTTATTGATAAAAAAAAATTAAAGGATTCACATGGATGAAATATGGGGAGGGAATCTACATTTCAGTCTGATGATGATTCTGTCATGAATGTAATGATTTTGCAGTGTATTTACTGCTAAGATGAAAATTTGAAAAATAAGAATTTTCAGTGAAAATATATACTGAGTATACATGTATCAGATTCATGAAACATCCACATAATGATTAAATTCCTTATTCATTCAAAATGAAGACGGAAATCAGATAAGTCTTTTATATCAGGAAAATTCCATTTTTTTTTTAGAATTAGTATTCACAGTAGCATGCATAATGCAAAACATTGATGTTCTTCTAAGTAATCTATTTTTCTGCGTAGCTGTGCAGTGTGCATCATTTTGGAATAAGAAAACCAAAAACAATATCTCAGCCATCAGCACAACAGAAACAAATACAGAATGCTTGGAAATCTATAAAATCTGGAATAGACAATGTCAAACCAAGGAAGGTGGGTCAAGAGATCGAGAGAAAGAGAGAGAGAGGAAATCTATAAAATCTAGAGTAAACAATGTCAAACCTAAAAAGAGAGAGAGATAGTGTGTTTTAGTTTGGGATCTATCAGATATAGACAAATAAAACCTTAGAAGAGTAGTTTCATGATAGAGTTACATGTTTATGGTGTTTCATAGACAGTGTTTAAAAAATTAGCAAGAAAAAACAAGTCTGAAGTTATAAATGTTCATGTTTGAAGAACTTCAAAGATATATCAAGATTAAAAGAAAAATTTTGTTAATATGTAAAGGAAAAGTATTAGGTAGACATAAAAAAAAATTTTACTCGATTAGTGCTAGCAGTACAAGGGAAACAATTATAACATCTACAATATCTTCATATATTTAAGTTTTAAGGGCAGATGATACATACCAACAAACTTTTGTCAAAGAATTTGAAAATGACAACTTTATAGGTCATGTTTAAATGAATTAAATGAATAACTTTCACCGCACAATTTTTAATTTTTTATTTAAATTTGCACAAAAATGGAATTTAAAGTGAAAAATATTTGTATAGATTAATAAGGATGGTTTCAGAAGGGCAGACTTTTGAACATCACAGAAGGTTTACAATTTCCTTATATTCTAGAAATTTATTATTTTCATCATTTGCAATGAAATTAGGCCAAAAAATATATACCAATCCAGGCATCCATTTTTTGTTTGTATCATCTGTCTTTAAACGATTAGTATCAAGTCGTTTATTTTATATATTTCAGATTAAATCATTTCTATTTCAGAAAGATATCAAAGACAAAGAAAAGTTTGTTAGGAGAATAACAGAGGTAAATTTAGATTTAGTCAATGAGGTAGAGATGAAATTAAGTTGAATTATATTGGCTTTTGGAAAACATTTTGCATGCACAACACTGTATATTAATTATATGCTATCAGCTCTGTTTTCTTTTCTGTCAGTTAAATTTTGAAACTGATCTTGAAAAGAAAAATACGACATGCAGGTTCTACATTATTTTTCCTTTTTGTGATAACTTCTATGACAAAATATTTTATTGGAATAAAGATGCTGGGAGATTTTCATTTTTACTTGATGGCTTATTGCCCTTGCTGTATCTACCAGGTAGTAATGCCAAAATGGGTAAGACAAAGAATATTGCTCAAAATTAGGCAAAGATATGCACTAGGCTGTCATGTACATAGATTGTTGACTTTTTTCTTTAGTTACTCTTTGGAATACATGTTGCTAGTTATGTTCCCCAAACGAAGTTGGGGAACATATTGTTTTTACTCTGTTTCTTATTATTATTATTCTTATTATTTTTCTTCCTGGGAAAATTTTGTCCGCGAGTGATCTTGTAAACTACACATCCGATCTGGGTGAAACCTTTTTATGGTAAGTAGGCATGTTATGTAGATTTGCGGAATCAAGGTCATTTTGCCCGCACGTGCTTGCAAGAGCGCGCACGTGCAAAACTTAAAATGACCAATATAAAATGGATATAACCGTAACTTTTCTATTTTGTAACGAAATGTTTTGAAACTTATAATGTAAGGATATATTAGTAGTATGCACAAGATAACATGGTCAAAATAGCAAGATCGCACGCGCATGCACGTGTGCTTCGCTCTGATTGGCTGAAACTAAAATCTCAATATCTTTTTTGTTTTTTGATAAAATCATTTGAAATTTTGAACATAGTCATACATTAGGGAGACACACAGCATGTTTTATAAGATTTATCATGAAAGCATGTGCATGCACATGTGCTTGCAAGAGCTCGCACGTGCAACACGAGAAATGTCCAATATAATTGATAGAGATGTAACTATTTAAATTATTGATGAAATGCTTTGAAACTCATATCATAAGTATATATTAGAAGCATAGACAAAATGACATGGTAAAAAAATAAAGATCTCACGCGCATGCACGTGCGCTTCGCTCTGATTGGCCGAAACTAAAGTCTCAATATCTTTCTTGTTTCTTGTCATAATCCTTTGAAATTTGGAACATAGACCTACATTATGAAGATCTAGAGCATGATATATAAGAATTTTCATGAAAGCATGCGCATGCCCGCGTGCTGCAATCTGATTGGCTGAAACTTGAAATGGCTATATCTCCTTTGTTTTTTGACGAAATGCTTTGAAATTTAAAATATAGTCCTGCATTAGGATATCCTACAATATGATATAGAAAAAAAATCATGAAATCACGTGCATGCACGTGCGCTGCAATCTGATTGGCTCAAACTTGAAATGGCTAAAACTCCCTTGTTTTTCAACCAAACAGGATGAGATTTAGAACACAGATAGATAGAAGACACTGCTACAAGAAGGTATGGTCATCATGCACGTGGACGCACGTGCTTGCATTTGGAACGAGTGAAATAAAAATACACTAGAAAGAGTGATTTTTCATACTTTTGGACCGAATGCTTTAATATATTGTATATTTAAATATGTAGATAGTGTAGACAAGATGATATGATCATAACGCACATGCATTAACATGCCCACGACTGCAATGCTAAAATTTGAATATAATTGGTATCCTTCTGAGAAAACGTTGTTAAAGTCAAAAATGCACAGAGTTTGTCTTATTTATTGAAGCTTACAGGGAATATGGCACAAAAAAGGAGTTGGGAGCGTTTGGGGAACATCTGTAACGGTTCCCGTTACAATTAGCACTAGTTTCTTCATTGTGCTGTAGTTTAAGCTCAGGCATTTTGAGTGTAGAATAACTTCAAGATATTACACAGAATATTGTGAAATTAAAATAAACTTACAATTTTTTCAAGTATCATTGTAAATATGGTAATATACATAAGATATACTTGTATTAAGTCTGTGAAGAACTTTGACAGAATATTTATTGTATATTGAAAAACACTTAAATTAATTTCTCTCTCTTAATAAATTAATTTCTGTCTGTTTTTTAATAGGAACTGTTGAAGATGTTTACAGATTCAGACTCCTTCTACTACAGTGAAACCTTTGATCTGACCACCAGTTTGCAGCGACAACACGGAAAGGAGTACCAGTCAAACAAACACCTCCCTCTCTGGCAGCAGGTGGATCCAAGGTTTTTCTGGAACAGGCACATGCTCAGTGATCTGATTAATGTTGAGGGGGATCCAGAGGTGTGTCATTGATATTTTAAATATCGATGTTTTCTATGAAATCATATCCTTAAAAGGGAAATTTAGAGAAATGAATCATATTATCAATTTTGTGATATAAAGAAAAATATTAGGATGAAGGCCAGGCCAACAGTCTAAGACTAATGTATTAAGCAGCTATCAACAATAATTAATAAAAGAGGACAGTCCAGTTGTTTTCCCCATTATTATTACAGATATAAAAAAATATTTGAAATTAAATTTTAAATGGCCTTATATATCTGCCATCAGTTGCAGTACCTATAAACTTATATTATACTTTCATGTAAATTAGTTGAACATACATGCCAACTTTTGAAAATTCCCATGGGGGATTTAGCGCGTGACGACAATTTTCAAAGCTTTAAATTCGCGACATTTTGTCATGAAATTGAATGATTATGAAATTATCTTTTTTTTACATTTATAATATTGATATTATTTATGATCAATACAACTTTTAAGGATTAATTTAACACAAAAAATAATGTTTTTCTTTCCAAGATTTAGATATTTTTGCTAAAATAGGTGCCTCTCTCACTAAAGAAGGGGTATTTTGTTACATATGTAAACAACATTTTTTTCTACCATGACACATAATTTAGTAAAAAATTGAAAAATGTACTTTTAAATCATTTTTTTCAAAGGCAAAAAAAAAAAATATACAAGGTTTTGATACTGTAAAATCCTGTTTCTGGAAAAAATTTGAGATTTTTTTTTATTAAATTTCAATTAATTAAAAATTCTAATAAGATATTAAATTTACAGAAATTTATACCACCTATCCAAAAAAGAATAATTTGTTAAGTCATGCATGCACATACCTAACATATTACTTTAGGGAGAACAGTCCAGTCCAATACGAAAATTCGTAATATTACAAGTTTTCGTAATATAAAACTTATATTAAGATTTTTCGTAATGTAGTTAAATTACGAATACGCGTAATATAGTAGATTGTAAGAAACTATATTACGAGTTTTCGTAATCCAAGACAAATTCAAGCATTGCAAGAATTGAGTGGTGGGTAGCAAAGTATGACGTCAGTAATATATCAGATTCCATGGCTAATGATAGCATGCGGTCAGACTGGTCAGTTACGCCTATCAGAAAGCATGGAAATTCAAGAAGAAAGTATCGCCAGCGATGGGTGAGTGGACAATTTCTTTTATTATTCTTTTATAGGAATTTTCCCACGGATATGACCAATTTTCCAGTAAATTTCAATATTCGCTCAAGCATGTAGCATTGGTCTATATCACCCGAACTCCCTACTTTTCTTCCGAAGTCTACCCTAAAAATCACACCCTCGTTTCATAATTCAACTGTTCGTGCAATTCTTATTAAAATAAACAGAATTTCAAATCTCAGTAAGCGTCGTACAAGTTATCGCCCGTGACATCTCGTATTATACGCCATACTTTGCTACCCGCCACTCGATTTCTTGCAATGCTTGAATTTGTCTTGGATTACGAAAACTCATAATATAGTCTCTTACATCTGCTATATTACGCATATTCGTAATTTAACTACATTACGAAAAATCGTTATATAATTTTTATATTACGATAACTTGTAATATTACGCTTTCTCGTAATCTTACGTTTTTTCGTAAAATTACGAATTTTCGTATTGGACTGGACTGGAGAAGGGAGGGAAAAGAAATTCTAATTGACATACACTTGATTGTTTCATCTTAATTTTTTTCAGAATATTTTAACGGGCAAACTTTACAATATTTTTCATTATAGGTAGATAAAATCAGCAGCTATGCTTTGTAGTTTTCTACTTTCGTTTTCAAAAAACGATCTCTTTGGATTCCGATTTTATGGTTTGATTAGTATTTTATTGTCTTTAATTTATGTTTTTAATAAAATGACTAACTGTTATCAGGTTAATCTATGTCTTTCATCTTGCATACCCCTTAAAACTGACAAGATAATCCCCTAATTGCCCCAAGCTATAAGCTACTCGTACCTGGACAACTCCGTGCGTTCAAGCGTGAAATGATTTCCTGTGGCTATAGGCCTAATTTACACCTGGTTAAATAAACAATGAAACTTATCTGTGTGCATTGAATAAACAAGTCTGACATTGTTATCCCGACTGTCAAAATTCAGTGGTAGGGAAACTTTTAAAATCGAAAATTTTGGTGATCTTTTTTCAAATCGGGAAATAAGGCAACTTTTTCTTTCCCGATCGGGAAGGCGGGATGAAAGGGCAAAATCGGGAGAATCCCGCCTAAATCGGGAAAGTTGGCATGTATGGTTGAATCTGATTGGTCGAGAAACATTTGTTAAAAAACACTATTACCCACTGAATAATGAAGCCACGCCCTCCAGTGTAGCAACAGTCAACAGTGCTTGACGACGGGTGATATTCCAAAAAATAGCGACTGCGCAGAACTTATGCGGGCACCTTTCACTGTTATATGTATTTGTATAAAACATTCATGCATGCAGTATAATATAATAAATACTGCATGTAGTTGAGTGTAACATTGAAAATTTTCACCCCTCGAAAACCAATGTCAACCTCGGCTGCGCCTTAGTTAACAATGGTCTTCTTGCGGTGAAAATTTTCAATGTTACACTCAACTACATGCAATATTTATATTATATTGTATTAGTGGAATACTATTTAGTGAGGCATATAAATTCAGCAATTTATCTTAAAAAATTGAACATATTTTTAAGTGATTTTACATAATGTACAATGTTAAGAAAGTTAGTTTTACCAAAGAAATAGCATTGAGTTAAAGTAATATCAAATTTTATTTATCTCAACACCCACCCTAAAATTGAATCCACATTAAAATCCTACTTATGCAATATTTCCTGTCTGACAGGTAGAGAAGCTGTACACCCACTGGATCGTCCCAGTAATCCAGGGCTACGTACAGATGGAGAACTGTGTCCTGGATTTTACCCCGTCCTCCACTTCCTCTCTAGATCTCAGTCCAGATTACGGAAACTCCAAACATCTGGACCCGCTGGAATATCAACTCGGAATTATCTCCAGGAGGAGCATACATAGGGCCGGTCAGTATTTTATTTGGAAGAATTTCTTGTTATATTTCAAAAAATTAATGAAATTTTACAATGAACAAACAAAACAGAACAACAACAAAAAAAGCAAAAACAATGAAAAAGAAACCAAATAATGAAAAAAAAAATCAACAAGTAAATAAATTAATTAAAAAAATCCATTTATAAATGATATATTTAGTCCTGATTATTTTCCTTAAAAAAACGTTTTAAAAAATATGAAAATCATGAAATTCTAAAGGCAATCAGTACCTTTATTTTATGAAATTAATCTATAAGTAGGCTAGATCAGAAAGTATGATGAGAGTCAAAAGACACTTGAATCAGATTTTGGATAAATTTCTGAAAAATTCAAAATATTTCAAAAATACTTATGCCACTTTGTAAAGCGTGATGAATATGCACTTGTGTGCACTTTGAAGAAGCAAAGTAATCTGGTGTAGAGTTATTAGATAATGTGAATTTATTGTAGGTACAAGAACGAAGATGAGGGGGTTGGATGAAACAGGAGCATGTGCTAATTATGTGGAAACAGAACAGGTTTTTATCCAATTTATGAATCTAATATTTGACAAGATCATTTTACTGTTCTATAACTTTTAAATCCAAACCCTTAAAGCATTTACTATCAGCACACTCTGCAGGTTGGAACATTCTTTTTAAAATATATTTCTTAAATCTTTCATTTAAAAATAATGCATCTTCAATGAGTTGCTTTCTGAAATTCATATCCTTTCTGTAAAGAAGTAGAGAAAATTATGCCTTTATGTGCTTTTATGTTTGATGCTATTTCCTCACTCTAATTTTACTGAATTAATTTTTATCAGTCATATTGATTATTATAATGAACATACTGAAAAAGGTCTATACCAAGGACTAGAACAAGGATCGAGTCAAAACAAGAGGCCAGTTCAGTGGCAGATCAAGGAAATTCATAACAGAGGGGGAGGGGGAGACAGAGTGGTTTGGGGCTGCATTTAAGCCCATTCGTGGGTTGTGGATAAAGCCCTGGTTGGGGTCTGGGGGCTTTAAATTACCACAAATAAGAGGTGTTTCCCCTTGAATTTAGGAAAGGAGTTGTGACCTTGTGTTAGAATACACATGGTCACAAATTAATATTTCAGAATACACATGTATCTCGAACCGTACACATCTGTACTATAACACAAGTGAAAAAAGTAAAGGACTTATATGTTATCATTTTATCAATTTCTGTACTTACTGTAAGTCGTTTTAATTCCACTGTGTTAAAATTTCTCAAAAAGTACTGATCGCGATGGTTTTAATTTCACACTGCAAGATATTTATTGAGCATTATATAAGCATTAAAACGTTTAAAAAAACAAATGGTAACAATTAATGATGGTTTAAATTTCACAGAAAAATGATGAATCGCGAACATAGTGAAATTAAAACCATCATGATTATTTGCTAATCTACAGTAACTGGACTTAACAGAAACAAAATGAAAAAAAAATACAAAGGGGGGGGGGGGGGGTTCACGCCCGGCATGCAGGCACTGGATCTGCCTTTGCAGTTTTTCCTAAAGCTGACTTGGGTCACAACTTCTCAACAAATAAATATGTAGCTAAATGGAAAAACTTTTTGCAGCTAATAATTTTAAGTTTATGGTTTCAATGATTTTAATCTACAGTATGTTAAGGCTTAGGATAGCTTTTTAGGTCACCTGAGTAAACTCAGGTGACCTATTGCTATCTGTTTTCGTATGTCGTCATGCGTCGTTCGTCGTGTGTTAACATTTGAACATTTTCAGTTTCTTCTCTGCAACCACTCAACCAATTTCCACCAAATTTTACATAAAGCATCTATGGGTAAAGGGGGAAAAAATTATGAATTTCATGGTCCCTGCCCCCTTGGGGCCTGAGGGGTGGGGCCAAAACCATTAAAGTTAGTGCAATCTTTAAAAATCTTCTTCTTTACTCCTGGACATCAAGCAGTCAAACTGTTAGCATGAATGTAATGACCATTGAGTCCTCTACCAAAATTGTGAAATTCATGGCCCCAGGGTCAGGGGTTCTAGTGCTAGGGCGGGGCTCTATTGATTATATAGTGAAAATGCATTATTTCTTTAAAAATCTTCTTCTCTGCTCCTGGATATTACATAAACTAACTAAATACATAGTTATGATGAGGAAGAATGCCTTTTGCAAAATTATGAATTTTATGCCCCAGGGTCAGGGGTTCTAGTGCTAGGGTGGGGCTCTATTGATTATATAGTGAAAATGCATTATTTCTTTAAAAATCTTCTTCTCTGCTCCTGTATATTAAATAAACTAACCAAGTACATATTTATGATGAGGAAGAACGCCTTTTCCAAAATTGTGAATTTTATGGCCCCAGGGTCAGGGGTTCTGGTGTTAGGGTGGGGCTCTATTGATTATATAGTGAAAATGCAGAATTTGTTTGAAAATTTTCTTCTCTGCTGCTTGGTATTCAACAAACTAACTACGTATATAGTTATGATGAGCAAGAATGCTTCTTCCAAAATTGTGAATTTTTATGGCCCAAGGGTCAGGGGTTCTTGTGTTAGGGCGGGGCTCTATTGATTATATAGTGAAAATACATTATTTCTTTAAAAATCTTTTTCTCTGTTCCTGGGTATTAAATAAACTAACTAAGTACATACATGTAGTTTTGATGTGGAAGAAAACCTTTCTGAATTTTATGACCCCAGGGTCAGGGGTTCTTTTGTTAGGGCAGGGCTCTATTGGTTATATAGAGAAAATGCAGAAATTGTTTGAAAATCTTCTTCTCTGCTCCTGGGTATTAAGCAGATGAACTACCTTTATAGCTTTGATGAGCAAGGGCCATTCTTCCTGAATTATGAATTTCAACGCCCCTGGATCAGGGGTACCATAGAGGGGGGGAGGCTCTACTTATATACTGAAAATGAATTAACTGATTGAAATCTTTTCCTTTGTATCAATCAAATATTTTTGATAAGCAAGGGTGCCTTTTCCAAAATTGTGAAATGTGTGGACCAAGGGTCAGGGGTTCATGTGTGGTAGAGGCACTATACTGATTATTGCTGGTTATTACTGATTAGTCGAAATGCATTTTTTTGTTCCCCTACTCTGTCTATGGGTATTAAGTAACCAAACTAAACATGTGTTTAGTTATGATTAGCAATGGTGCGTCTTTCAAAATTGTGAATGCCATGACATCTAGTTTAAAACATGAACCAGAGTCGATCGTTGTCAAGTTGTTGCATGATGCTCAGGTGACCTATAAGGCCCATGGGCCTCTTGTTTTGGTTTTGCACAAGCTTCATATTTTTGTGTAAAACTTTCAATCCCAATTTATGGTTAACCCTAGACTTGTGGATCAAAGTTTAAATGAATATGAATTTAAAGGTAAAGGTTTTACAAAGAAATATGCAAATTTATATACATACATTACGTGTATATGAGCAACAAGGCTAGAATTTAAAAGCTGACAACAATAATTGAAAATATAGACCTCTGAGTTGATTGTTACAGTAGTTTCTTCAAATTTTAAGCAACAAATAAGCTAATAAGATTTCTTTATATGTTAATTGTAGAAGAGAGAGGTAGATCAGATGTGCCTAGTTGTCTTTTAATAACTTTTGTTTTGTTAAGTTACAGATGAATAAAAAAAAAGAATGTGTTACAAATTTTTTGCATAGGTTCACTGTTGTCAGATATTAAAATGTCAAAATTTACTTTTAAATGCAAGTGAAAGTAGTGATGTACACATCTTGCTACAAGGAGAAATGACACTCATGCCCTTAAACAGAAATAAAAACACTTCGCTAAAGAGTTTGAATGCCCAATGATCAGAATAAAACTGTATACATAAATCAGAACGGCAATCTGCCCTCTAATCAGAATGATAAACTGAATATTCAGAATGACAGTCTGTCCACTAATCAGAATGAAACTGTACACAAATCAGAATCAGAATGAAAAACTGCTCATGAACCAGAATGAACTCTGCCCACTAACCAGAATGACAATTTGCCCCACTAATCAGAAATTCAGAATGACAATCTGCCCATTAACTAGAATGACGCTCTGCCCACTAATCAGAATGACAATCTGCCCACTATTGTAGATTCCTTAATTTTCGCAAGTACTAATTATCGCAAAAGGACTCTTCATCGTCAAATGGCCAGAATAAAATTTCATGAATGGACGGTTAATCAACATATTTTACATAGATTGCAGCACCAAAAAAATAAAAATAAGGATTGCTGTTGTTATCCTGTGATACTAAAAAACACCTGTTGATGCTGTTACAGCAGATTAACTTGCACTATAAACAAATTTGTCACCTGAAAAAAACCAGAAATATTCATTTTGCATTTGTTGTTGTTGTTGTTGTAACTTGAGTATTTTGTTGTCAAATTATTTTTAAAAAAAACAGGATAAAATAACTGTTAGATAACTGTGGATTGTTTTTCATTTCTGTATTTGCAAGGATTGGTAAAGCCATAGGCAATGTAGTAGATTTATGAAGGATTTAGATTGCAGTGATGTATGTAATATGACACAAAGAGTTCTTGCTTATCCTTAAAACTAAAGTAGGTGTGAACTAAGACGGAACGGAAAGGCTACACATAATTAATCAATAAAGGCTAAATATAATTAATCAATATGTATTTGTTTCACTGTTTCACACAAGCTGTTTCTTAGAAATTTTAATTTAGGTGTTAAGATTTTTTTCAACTTCTTTCAAGAAAAATATTGATTGAATGCTAGTTTTCATTAATTTTTAGTCTTTTACTAATATGAGGGTTGATCCAAAAGTAATGTCACAACTTCAATAAAATCGCTATCCGTCGACGTAAAACAACAAAATTATAAATGATGAAAGCTACTTTTATTTCAAATCAGACCTCAAAATTTCAATTGAACATGATTTATACTTTTCAAAATATCGGATTATATACAATGTACGATTATGGTAGTCGCCGCAGCTAAATAACGTAATATGACGGATACGTGCCGTCATACATTTAAACGCTTCCCTTCGTTTCATTAAAAAATATTTGAGATTTGATATCCACGAACACGTTCACAAATTTTACTTTCTTACTATTAGTACCCATCGTACACTCACTCATTTCATAATTAATTCTGTCAAAATTCATTTAACAGTAGTAAAAGGCCAACTTAAAATTTCACATATCACTCTATCTGTCTGTCGTTTTGACAACGTCACGCACCATTGAACATTTCCTTCCGCCCTCCCAATTCTTTCGATTTTCTTGTCCTCAGCTGTGCATTTAATGACCCATAACCCACCGAAAATCGCTGAACCTTCTTAACAGGTCTCTTATTTACATCTTTTCCTCCGAAAGTCTGGCGAATCAACGTAAATGTCTCTACTGGCGATTTCTCCATTTTAAAGCAAAAATGCATTACAGTTTGTTTTGGCTGTTTTGTCCATTTTAACATTTCCTTTTTTCAATGCACCAGAATAAATCAATGATGTTTTTCATAAAAAATAGCAGTGATGTCATATAATTTTCAATTTAAGACTAGAAAATGATGTAAATTTTTGTCTTTTGTAGTATTTTCAATTTAGGCGCTTTTAAAAGATGCTTTTTAAGTGTTTGTTTTTTCTATACTTAAAAAGTACACTTTAATTTGTGACGTTCGGTTTTGATGCGGCGACACCCCCTATCTTATATGTTTTAAACATCTATAAAATAAATTCAGTTAAACATTATTGAATGAAAAATTAAAAGTTTAATTAAATTTATATTTGTGCATCTTTTGGTATATAATATTTGATAATATGACGCCAAATATAAAAGATATGGACACTGTGACATTACTTTTGGATCAACCCTCATATATTATTGCTTTAAAAAAATTAACAACATTCATAAAATTTCCACAAAATAATACATTGATAATGTTTATTTCAAGCCCAAGTAAATGTACATTATTCTGTAAACAATAAACCAGAAATAAAATTCATTGCTAAAAATCGTTAGAAATTCTGAAATGAGAAAAATAACTGTCCCAATTAAATGATGTATAGGTGTAATTCTCTTGAAATAACACAACTTGACGTCAGAGAATAAAAAAAATCTAACCCATTTTTGTTAAAATTATTATGAAAAAAATCTAATTTTAGGGGTAATTTGTTTTTTAGCCTTTTTTAGTATCAAAACTGGCCTAATTACCATATTTCATTCCATAATGGACTTGAAAACAAATGTATTGAAATCTGATTTTTTTTTCTGCAGGGAAAATTTAGTATCTTCATATAACAATAATCTATTAATAAGATATCTTATGTTCAATTTGACCAATTGCTCTTTTTGTCTTGATATTGAATAAAGTTGAAATACGTACTTATATACATTTTTTTTCCATTTATTTTGCAATAAAAGCAGCAATGATCTTTTACAGATTTCTTTTATATTAATAAGTGAAATAAATTAATGCTTATATGTAGGATGATAAATACAATTTTTCAAATATTTTTTTTTAACAGATTATAAGGTTTTCCCACCATGTTGTATCCTTCCTCCAAATTCGTGGATCCATCCCCGTGTTTTGGAGTCAATCAGGGTACAAGTACAGACCCCCTCCACGGCTCACAAAAGGTAAGGGGTCAATTCATCAAAACTTAAAACCTTAATCGGCAGTCAACCTGGTTCAATCACCAGTTGCCTGAGATCCATTTGTAGCTTAGTTTGTAGAGCACCTGACAAGCGATGTCTCATTTTCTCCTCTCCTCCGGTTACATTTGATGTTATGTCATACTCTGGAAGTGACAGGTGAAAGACCTGCCAGAGATGAGTCTGGGTTGGTGTCTTTTAGCGCAAAGACCTTTAAGGAGGAAAATGGCAGTCAGTGGCATTTGATTGCCGGTGGCCAGATACTGTAAAATCTTATATTTTTGTGGGGGCAAATTTCTTGGGAGAAAAAATATTGATATGTGGGTCCCAGGATTTGATTTCATGGCCGGAAAATTGTAGAGTAATAATGCATATTAAATTGTACACGTCATGGTGGTTTTAAATTTGTGGGTCTCTCCATACCTCGAAAACAACGAAAATTACTCCCCCCCCCTCCCATGAAAATTAGCGATTTTGCAGTAGCTCAACTTACAGAGAGCACCTGACTGGAGATTGAGGGGACTTGTATATTCTGGTCTGGTGTGGTCTTTCAATTTTTTTTGCCAGTTACAATATAGCAAATGTCAAGTCTTACCAGAATAGAAGATTGATAGCTTAAACAATTGTTCAACAGGATGACCAATACAAATCATCAAAATAAAGGAATTATTTATAACAAAAGCCTCTTAAAATATAAGTCAGGCCATTTAAAAGATGCTTTTGATGATATGAAATTTTGACCTTAAAACCTAGATACAAAGCAGAAATTTGGATACATCCAGTTGTTCTCCTTTGTACCATTAAGATTTTAAAAACATTAACTTTTAGTGACTCAGTCATGGTGGGTTTCAAAATTATTGTAGGTGGGCCTGTCTTGTGAAAATTCGTTTTTACCTTTGATAAAGGTTTACATTGTATCTGCATTTCATATTCATTAAAATTATGTTGAAAAAAATAAAATAGATACATTAATGTCAGTCCCTATGACTACTTGTAAACATTGACAAGGAAATAGGCACTGCTGTGCAAAGAAAGATGATTAAGAGGTAATAAATCGTAGATCAAAGGTCTATTTCATAAAAGGTCTGCGGAATATTGGAATAATTCTTATGTAATTTTATAGTTTTTTCAGCTTTTCAACATTGCCCAAACTAACATTTAAAAATATAAGGTTAAAAGAACCTAGTGTTACAGTTTTTCTTCAGATCTATATAAATAACTAGTCATAACTAAGCACTTTATCAATGAAAAAAGGCATTGAATATTAAAGAATTAACAAAATTTGCAAAACGATTTAACACAAATGCCATTTCACTGTGTATAATAATTATCTAATGAGTAAATCATTGAAAATTGATACAAACTTTATTATGAAAATATATATATATATATAAATAATAAAATTTGTAATATTAAGAAAGGAAATTGAAAAAAAAAAATGGTTTATTCTCTAACTTGTTTTTCTTTAAGTAAGATTAATATGAATTAATATCATTGTATGCTTGTGGTACTCAACATAGAAAAAACATATACCATTAAGAATTCAACCTTTATAATTATATAAGATAATTTAAATTGATTTTAAATATAACGATTCTTTAAATCAATTATTAACTTACATACAATGCATTCTGTAAAATTATTATAGAAAAAATCCAGAGGATCTTAAAAATCTAAGTTATAAACGAAGCTTCTTCATTCTAAGTTAGGATGTTATTACATGTAAATTAAGATTTAAAATGTATGTAATATCTAATTTAGTAATCTTTGTCATTTCTGTAACCCAAGAAAATAAACTAGAAACTAGATGCTGTCATGAGACAGTAATACCCGCACTAAGGTGTTTGCCTCTAAATGCACACTTCTTCATATTGGGCTTTACCAAGGAAAAAGTCAATATAATTCAATAATTTACATATTACATGTTTTATCAAATTGAGCATAATATGCTCAGGTGACCATGTGACCCATGGGCCTCCATCTAATAAGTATTTCATATCCTTAATTCATTACTAGTCTGAATTAAACAACAGAATTAATTAATGATGTAAATAAGGTTTGATAAAGGGGGGTAAAATATAAATTTTTGGCACATAATTGGAACTTTTTAAATCTATTTTCTCATATCTATAAATCAACAAATAATATTATTCAAATTAGTGTAAAGAGTTTTTGATGAATTTTTCAAAATGTGCAAAGTTTATTTATATTTGACAAGGCAGTTCTAAACTTCTTGAAAGCTGCCATATACATGTATACACAATCAATTTAGTCAACCCCCACCCCTCTCCCATCAACACACACACACAAACACACCTAATTTGCCTGTTTTTGGAAATAGGCCTAGATGGAAAGTTAAGATAAAACATCTTTCGTAAGTTATAATTTTCAATTTGTTCTTGCACTATACATGTATTTGAACACCTGCATCACATTGGGCGTCCGTCACATACCCAACTTAAGTACTAGTTTTACCATTGGCATTATCATTTTTAGATTTCACTGCACGTGCAGTAGGCTACTAGTGTGGTATACACATCGTTGCATATAGGAATTATTTCATTTTGTGTTTTAATTGGATTATATTTCATGAAGATTA